TTTGTTTTTTTGTTTTTTGGGTTGTTTTTTTTTTTTTTTTTGGACCCCCTGATGTTGATTGTGTCTTTAAAAAATAAAATACGAAGAGGAAAATCATGTCATTTGCAACAACCTGAATGGGCCTTTAGGATATTATGCTAAGATAAATTATTCAGACAGAGAAATGCAACTACCATGATCCTATTTACGTGGAGTCTTTTTAAAAATGAACTCATAGAAATAGATTTAAAGAGCCTTGCTGGCAGCCTACGAGTTAAATCTCAGCACTAAACTCTATGGCCTCATCCCCAACCCCCAGTCCCTGGCCAGGGAGCTGACCCACATGGCATAGCAGGTCTCTCCTGTCTTGCCTGTTGCTCCCCTTATCAATGTATTACAGTAGAACCACCTAACTGTTCTGTTCCCCAATTGTCTCTGGTGAATCCTTTCAAAACCCCCCCACCTCTGGCCTACACCCCAATTCTTGTATAAAAAATAAAAAGAAAAAGAAATAGTTAGAACAGTAGTTGCCAGAGGCTGAGGATGAGAGAAATACAGAGCCTGGTCAAATAGTGCAAACTTCCAATATTAAATCAGTTATAAGGATCTAAATTAAAGGATAGCAAGTGACTATATGTAATACTGTATTGTGTACTTGAAAGTTCCTAAGAAAGTAGATCTTAAAAGTTCTTACCATCAGGCCCTCCCTGGTGGCGCAGTGGGTTAAAGCACAGCACTAAGAAGCTTAAGTCACTTCCACATGAGTTCGATCTCCCGGAGGAGATCCACATGGCGTGGCAGACCTCTCCTGACTGGCCCGCTTCTCCCCTCAGCAGTGTACTTTGTCCATCTGCCTGTTCTGCTCCCTACTCTGTCTCTGGTGAATCCTCTCACCCTTCACATCTCTGGCCTGTACCCCAGTTCTGTATGAATAAATAAATAAATAAATCTTTAAAAAAAAAAAGTTCTTACCATCAAAAAAAAAAAAAAGAGGTTGCTATGTGAGGTGATGAATATTAACTACCTTATTGTGGTAAACATTTTGTAATATATTCCTATATCAAATCATCACATTACTCACCTTAAATTTACACAATGCTATATGTCAAATATTATCTCAAGAAAGTTGGAGAGGATGTAGCCACACAATAAATATTTTCAGCTTTGCATGCCAGATGGTCTCCATCACAATGATTCAACTCTGCCTTTTACAGCTTGAAAACAGCCATAAACAATATGTAAACAAGTGGGAGAGGCTGTATTTCAATAAGCTTTCATCTACATAAGTAAATTATGGTATAGCTATACAATGGAATATTAATCAGCCATAAAAAAGGAATGATTTATGATTAAAAAGCACTGGTTCATTATACAACATGAATGAACTTCAAGAACATTATGTTCAGTGGGAAAAAGTTCTGACACAAAAAGTAAGAACCATTTATGTGGAATATCTGGAGCAGGCAAATCCATAGAGATGGAAAACAGTGGTAGTTTCCAAGAGATGGCAGGGTAGAAAGTGACAAATTAATGGAGACAGGGTTTTATTTCAGGATGAAAGAAATGTTCTGTAATTAAACAACAGTTGTTGCAAAATAGTGTAAATGTACTACATGTCAAAGAAATATTCAGTTTTAAGAGGGTCACTTTGCTGTGAATTTCACCTCCAATAAAATTGTTACAGAAAGAAATAGTTGGTCCACAGTCCTTGGTTTGTAATTCTTTAAAACATCTTTAAAACATCTCAACAAAATCCAAACCTGAATAAGAAAATGCAGGTGTATAGAATCTTAGCCCAGAACCCTGTATATACCTGTGTGGATTATTATTATCAGGATTTTCATTATTTTTATCATTACTTCTACCAAAGTGAATATTATTAACTCTGACCTTGGCCTCAAATGCCAAGTTCACTTCCTCTGGCCTCTGGCCTTTATCCCAGCCTTCCTTCTAATGAGGGCCCAAGGCTCTGTCTGTCTATGCCAGTGTTACCTCCAATAATGCTGATCCAGGCTCTGGTCAGTGTCTACTCTCACAAGACTCCTTGTCTGCAATCTGGAAGGATCTTGACCAATCCCCTGACAGGTGGGCCTCATGAGGTAGAAAGGAAGAGGAAAAGTGTGGGAGGAGGATTCGTCATGGGAATCTCAACCTTTCTGCTGCCTGCCTGTCCAGCGGGAACCAGGTGCCTTGGTGTATGAGTACTGTGTGTGTGTCAAAGCCTGAGCCCAAACTGACCCCACGACCTCACATGAATTCAGCAGTTCCTCCCTGCCACCTGTTTGGTCCCTGACCTGTATGGACAAGTCTGGGTCAAAGGGAACAACCCCAGGCTAGAGAGCCAGAATGTAGAAAGAGGAAGGCCAGGGGCTAATTAGGAAGGCTTCCTAGAGGAAGGTCACAAATTCCCAGATCATAAATCCCAGAAAGAGCACAGGGACATATTTCTGATTCAAACATAACCCAGCTTCTACTACTAACTCTGTGTTTTTGCAGTTGATCCATGAAGTCTTGGCCATGAGTGTCAGTCTGCGTACGCTTCTTTATCATTAAGTATCATAATTATTCTGACCCTGACCCAGCCACAGAGTAGCAGAAATGTGCAGTGGGCTTGGACCCTCCCCAGGTTATAGATAGGTGACGTTGGACAAGTTACTTAACTTCTCTGAACTCACCCTCCTGCTAGATAAAACAGGCATAATGAAATAAAAAATATATAATGGTTAAGTAAAATCAAAAGCATCCCCAAAGCCATAGACAGTGGGAGAGTCAGAGGGACAAACATGGGATTTGTAATGCTGAATCAAGATATTCCCAGAGCAGCTGAACATTAAATGGAAATCTCATATGACAGTCACTCCTCGGCATCCTTGGCGCTCCCCCCGCAAGTAGATACAGGGCCAGGACAAGGGTAAAGTGAGTGAGGCACAAAAACAGCATGAGGACTCCTGATTTCTCTTCTTCCTCTTGCTCCAATATACCTTAGCATAGCTCTGTTCTGGATACTGTCTTTATCTCAAATGTTGCATCATTAACCACTTCATTAAAATTTTAAAGATTTCATTAAATCTTAAAGATTTATTTATTTATACATATAAGAACTGGGATGCAGGCCAGAGGTGGCAGTGGGGCCGGGGGGTGGGGGGTGGCAGGGAGTGGCAAGAGGATTCACCAGAGACAGAGTGGGAGCAGAACAGTCCGAATATACTGAAATACACTGCTGAGGGGAGCAGCGGGCCACACAGGAGAGGTCTGCGGTGTGGGTCACTCCCTGCCCAAAACCCAACTCTCTTTGCAATGGCTTTGGATAGCTTTATAATGCTGCACTTTAATCCCTTGACACACACCCCCCCCCCCCAGGGAAGTGCCAAAGTGTTAATTTTACACCATTTGCAGCTATGGGGGATGGAGCTAGAAGGAATTATGTTAATGAAATAAGTCAGAACAGGGAAAATATATATATAAGATGGTTACACTTACAGGGAAACCAAACAAAGGGTGAGGAAAAAGGCAAAACCTCAATGCAAACATTACATCTGAGGCATATAGCAGGGGAGGGAGAAGGTGAAGGGTCAAAACAGGGGGGAGGGGAGCACAGGAACTGTGGTGACTGTGCACAGGAACTGTGGTGACTGTTCACAGGGACTGTGGTGACTGTTCACAGGTGATGTGGTGGTAGGAGAATTATGGAGACTACACCTGCGGGGAGAAATCAAATACTGTACAAAAATGAATACTGATTTAAATTTTTTTAATTAAATAAAAGAGAGGAAAGGTGCAAAAGGAAAAAAAAGTTATTATTTATCTTGATACATGAGGGTTTTCAAAGCCATCTTAAATTTTGCACTGCAGGTAATTGTCTTGCTCACAGACCACATCCAAATGGATCTGCCTGGCACAGGCCTGGACCCAAATCCTGGAAACTGGCACAGAAGATATTTCCTCAAAAACTTGGTGGAAAAGTTCTCCTTCCCTTACCAGTGTACTCCCCAAGTTCCCACTGTGCCCCAGCTTTATGGGTCCTAGGAAGAGGACTCCAGATATCTGAGCAGATTGTCCCCCCACCACCACCTCTTTCGACTTAAAATACCCCTTGGGAAATCCCAGGCCTGGCTCAGTCTGGGCATTCCCAACCCTACCCAGGATCTACTCTGTGTCAAAGACTCTGTTTCATGGGTCCCCTGAAAAACTCCCTGGCCTGGATCCAGGTTGGAAGGCCCACAATGAAGCAATTTACACAAGAGCCCCATCCCACCTGACGCTGGAATAAAAGGAAGGCCAGCTCACTTCTGTACTCGGCCACAAGCACCAGAGGAAGAGGAAGGACCCCTCATTATTAACCCAGGTGAGTCCAGAAACCAACTCCTGGGACAAACGCCACGGTTCCGAAAGTCCTGTTCTAAGTAACCGCTGGTGGCTTAGGATCAAGAGTTGGTACTGAAGCAGAGATGACATCTCTAGGTTCCCGTGGGCTCAAAGTAGGACTCAGCAAAAATAACCCAAGGCCCCCATCCTCTGCCTAAGCCTGAGATATTGGCAACACAGCCGACATGAGCCAGTGCCAACCTTAGGCCTCTCCTTTCTCCTTTGTCCCCAGTACAGCCAGTCTTACCAGTCACGTGGGTGCCTGAGAGTCCCCTCTGGTGGCCAGCAAGCAACAGTTACAGAATGATTTCCATCAGGAGGGAGTAGTATTTGAATTGGTCTCAGTCTATCTTTCTGTGGAATAGGAAGATTTCCTGAAGCCTCGGCTGCTTGGCCAGGGAACAGCTTGGCTTACTGCCCCTTGATCTCAGCCTGAGAATGCCCGGTTAGGATGAAGTAGCTCCTGAGAACCAGCCGACCTTGACTCTGTACCTCCCGCCCACAGTTCAGCAACAGGCAGACGTGTCATTCACTGCTGGACTTTTGACAGTTGTGAAAGGTACTATTTAGTTCTCCATGCCTGTCTTCTCCCAGTTCTGCCAAGATACCTGCTGAAGTTAACAGGATAAGTCTCCCCCAGAAGTTGGAGCCCCACAATGGTTGTGCAAGGTGTACTCTGGATCATGTTTGGATTGCTGCTGTGGCTGGAGCCAGGGACAGGTGAGTCAGAAGGTAGAGGCCTGGTCAGACCAAGGGTTAAGGGAAAAACCTGGAGTCAAAGATTAAAAATCATGAAGGCTTCCTGGAAGAAGAGACATCACTCTAGGGCAGAAAGAAATAATTTCACTAGGTAGAGAGCAGGAAAAGATGTTTTAAACAGAGAGAACAATGTGGCAGAGAAATAACAGTGTGAACTGTCTGCAGAAAAATCTAGATTCTGAACAACTAAGTGTAAAAATTAAGACTTCCTTGTTTCAAATTCTGCCTCTACCATTTCCTAGCTATACGATCTTAAGCAGATACTTTGACCTATCTTTGTTCAGAGAGTCATTGTGAAGGTTAAATGAATTTAGTTATGTAAGTCACCTAGAATGGTGCCTGACATGCAGCAAATGCTTAATAAATATTAGCTATTAACCAACAACCATGTCCAACTTTGAGCTCAGCTCTTCTAGGGTCCAGATTCAGCCACTGACATTTCCCCATGAGGCCAGGCTTACCTCTCTGGTATCCTTTGAGACACCTTTTTCTCTAAAACATCCCAAATGCCAACCCATCATGAAAAACTGTCTCTATTTCCCTCAAACTAGCTAGAGGAGCTGCCTCTTTTTTCCATCACATTGCCACCACCTGGTCTTCAACCACCCTCATTATAGATCAGCACAAATTTCCCCTTCCTCTACTCTTAGTCTCCAAAAATCTGTTTACCACGTGGTAACCAAAAGAGCAATCGTAGGATGCCAGCGTGGCCAATCTTTCTCCTGTTCTTGAACCTTCCCAGGGCTTGCAGAGAGTCTAGGCTCCTTGCCCTGTTGTCTGTGCCTCAGTTTCCTCACCCATACAAGGATGTTGTTAAGGATCACAGGGGTGTCAAATGGTGCACTGAGCAGCAGGTTCTGCTGCATGCACTGAGAAGATATGGAAGCAGCAGGAAGAGGATCAGGAATCAGGGCTGTTGGGTTTGATGGGCTAACATCATCCCTCCTTTTGCAGCATCCCTGCCCCTGCTCATGGACTCTGTCATCCAGGTCCTGGCTACAATTGAGCAGAAGGCATCAACCACTGAGGCCAGCCATGCTGCCTCTCTGTGGCTTCAATCAACCCAAGGCTCAGGCCCCCACGAGTCCTTCTATCGCTTTCTGCTGGAGGGGTGGCCTCTTGAGCCTGTGAAGCTGGAGCCCCTCCCACTGAGCCCGGAGCTTGGAGACCTGGCCAAGGAGGTATCCCGACATGGTGTTCAGGATGGACAGGAATATGGTGTGGTGTTGGCACCTGATGGCTCAACTGTAGCTGTGGAACCTCTTCTGGTGGGACTGGTGGCTGGGCTGCAGAAGCATAGGTTAGTAAATTTGCCCATGGACAGCACAGCCACCTCTCTAGATGCCACAGCCATACACCCAGGTGTTGGAGCCATGGTTTCTCATGTAAGAGCCACCTCCCCAGGACTGAATCACGCCTCTGCAGATGTCACCTCTCCAGATGTCACCTCTCCAGATGTCCACATTTCTTTGTCAGATGCCACAACTAAGTCCCCTGCTACTGTGGATAGCCTCCTGGTGGTCACCCTGGCCAGATCCCTGGGCCTGACTTTCCTCCAGAACCCCCAGATGCAGAGTCATCCAGACCTGGGAACTGATGGATGCTGGGATAAGCTCTCTGCTCCCCGAAACTTTACACTCCTGACCCCTGAGGCATCACTGCTTACCATGGCCTTCCTCAATGGTGCCCTCGATGGGGTCATCCTGGGAGACTACCTAAGCCAGAGTCCTGAGCCCAGGCCATACCTCAGCCACTTGCTGAGAGAGTACTTTGGAGCTGGTGTGGGCAGAGACCCAGGGCTTCGAAGCAACTTCAGACGGCATAATGGAGCAGCTCTGATTTCAATACCCATCCTGACTCAGCAGGTATGGGGAGCCCTCATCCTGCTGCAGAGACTGGCATCAGGCTACCCTCAGCTGCAGGGCATGAGCCAAGGACAACTGGAAAAGATAGCCACCCATGCCACCAAGGAATTCACTGACGCCTTCCTGGGTAAAATGGGCCCCAAACACCTGTTACCTTCTGTCTCACAGATATATACTTTCCTAGCACCAGGTGGTCAGAGGGATCCAGAACTGAGGCATTTCAGAGGGAGCAATAAGGGCTCTGACTGGGTAGGCGAGGGTATCTGCACAGGTGAGAAAATGTTAGATGTGGATCTTTAAGGATGAATACAGATCCGTCAGATTTTTTTCTTAAAAAAGTGAATTTCCAGAAGGTGGGTTCAGTACATGTAAAGGTAGGAACTGAAGATTAGCCAGTTACTCCTGTGAATCTTTAGGTGAGTAATTTCACTTCTCAGAACCTTTCTTCAATTGAAGCTGGGAAAAATCACTGGTATCTCTTGGATTTGCTGGATATTTTTTAAAAAGATGAAGAATGTAAAGTATGTAGCATACAGTTGGAGATCAGTAAGTGGAGAACAAGATTCTTTTCTGTGTGGCTGGATCTCCTGTCTGACTGTTCTCAGAGCAGTGTCAGCTGGAGAGAGCTCTGGATCCCCTACTGTTACGGACCTTGAAGTCTGAGCTAAAAATTTTGGGGTTTGTACTGAAAGTGATAGAGGATGTTCCTAGAGGAATAGGGTGTTGTTAGATTTTTTTAAATGATGTATTTGTGTATGCATACAGAGGGTATACAGGCCAGAGGTGCAGGGGCGGTGAGAGGATTCACCCAAGACAGAGTGGGGAGCAGAACAGGCCGACTGGCGAAGTACACTGCTGAGGGGAGCAGCGGGTCAGTCAGGAGAGGTCTGCGGGGCCATGTGGGTCACCTCCGGGGCAGGGATGGAACTCATGCTGAAGTGGCGTTAGCTTCTTAGTGCTGTGCTTTAACCTGCTGCGCCACCAGGGAGGGCCGTTAGATTTTTTTTAAGTGGCATCCTAATGGAGGTCAGTGTGGTGTGAGACTGATCTATACCCAAATCCAGAGGGTGGAGGGATTGTCATGTGTGCACTCTAATGGGAGGTGCAAGTGGCAGGTTAACGAAAAGAGTGCAGATCCCAGCTCTGGCCTCCCTTCTTCGCAGGGTGCCCTGCTATCCACCCCCGTTGCCGCTGGGGCGCGGAGCCATACCAAGGCAGACCCAAGCTGCTGCAGCTGCCGCTCGGGTTCTTGTATGTGCATCATACGTACGTGCCCGCGCCACCCTGCACAGACTTCGCGCGATGCGCAGCCAACATGCGCTCCATGCAGCGTTTCCACCAGAAGACACGCGGCTGGGACGACATCGGTTACAGGTGGGCGTGGCTATACGGAGGCGTGGTCCATGGCCGTGGCCAGTCTGAGGTAGGGGGCGGTATTTGCAAACGAGCAAAGCAATCAAGACTATGGAGTTTCGTGGGACCAAGGTGAGAGGGGCCTGGTCTAGACTAGGGAGGAGACCATTCCAGGGAAATTGCTAATTGTGGAACTCTGGAGTCTGCTGAGGGAACTAAGAAATGAGGTGGGACTTGGGAGAGGAGCAGGGTCAGGGGTAAGGGTTAAGCCTGGAGCGGAGCAGTGATGGGATAAGGCCTAAAAAACTGAAAAATGCTCTGAATTGCACAGAACTGGACTCGAGTCAAAGGGGAGAGGACTGGGTGTTAAGGAAGGTGGCCAGTGCTTGGGACAGTTGAGAAACAGTGGTTTCAGAGGAGGCATTTGGTGAGGGATTAAGACAAAACTGGACAATGCTGAGCCAGCGCGACCCCGCAGGACTGGGGCGGGGCAGGGGCAAGGGAGTGGGACTGTGAGGAGGGGCGCTTGGCGGTGACTGCCAGGTGCGGAATCTGGGGTTTGGGCAGACACGGGGGCCAGGCTCCTCACACCACCTGGTGCCAGCTTTCCTCTTCCCTCCGCAGTTTTGTGGTAGGCTCTGACGGCTACGTGTACGAGGGCCGAGGCTGGCAGTGGGTGGGCGCGCACACTCGTGGCCACAACTCCCGCGGCTTCGGCGTGGCCTTTGTGGGCAACTACACTGCGGAACTGCCAGCCGAGGACTCGCTGCGCACAGTGCGCGAGGTGCTGCCACGCTGCGCGGTGCGTGCCGGCCTCCTGCGGCCGGATTACACGCTGCTCGGCCACCGCCAATTGGTGCACACCGACTGCCCCGGAGAGGCGCTCTTCAGCCTGCTGCGCACCTGGCCGCACTTCGCCAAAGTGAGTCCGCCGCGTTTGCAGTACTTGAGCTGCAGTCCTGTCTGTACCCTGACCCTAGCGTGCCCTCGACCTCTGTCTGTAATCCCTGTATCCACAAGCCAGGCTCCTGAGCTCCCTATTCAGGCACCCAAGCCTTCAGTTATTCTTCCCCCCAACATCCCTGCCAGCAACCCTGTTCTCTGCCTGCATAGCCTCAGCCTACCCACTCCCCAGCACCTCTGTTCTCTCAACCACAGCATGGACCCTGACATAGCCTCTTGCCCTTAAAATTCTTTCAAAACCTAGATGCAAGTCACAGTTTGCCTACACAACCTCTACCCTGTCCACCCAACCATGGCCTCATCCCAGTCCCCTTGTCAAAGTTCTTCTGTCCACACAACACTAATGTAGCTTGTGACCCTCTACAGGAAATTCCTTCGCCTGCACAGCTTCTGTTCAGCCCCTACCCCTGTGTTGTAAACCTCTGCTCACAACTTAGCCCTCTGAGGATGCTTGCTCAGCCCACCCTTCCTAACCACTAATGACCACTCTTTTGCTGCATCGATCTAGGCCCAATCAGCACAATCTCAGCCTCATGCTACTTGCACACTGCCACTCCATTTCATTAAGCTGTTAATCTATGCAGCTTGGTCTGCAGTTAGTGTTGAACCCAACCAGCCCCCCCTACTTTGAGCCCCTGTTCACATTTGCATCCAGCGCCCCACAATAAGAACCCACCCCAAGCTTCTCACTCCCTTTTCTTTTCTAGAATGTGAAACCAATAACTGCCAGGAGGGCACCAAGGAGATCCAGGCAGGAACTACCCATAAGGACCGTACCAGACACAGACCTCCAATAAAGAGACCGTGGAAAGCAAGCCTGTGCCCATGCATCATTTATTCATGCATACAATCTTTTGTTTGAGTTTTACCAGAGGCAGACTCTGGGACAAGAATTCTGGTTTAAGTTTGTTTGGGAGATGTTCTCAGAACACATCACTTGGAGAATGAGGAAGAAAAGGTAGGGAATGGAAGACAGCCAGGATAAGTTACATTAGTCAAGTTGGTATTGAGGGTAAGTGAAGTTCAAATTCACGGGAGCCCTCTGGGGAACACTGCCGGGCACACACCTAGAGCCAGCCCACACAAAGGATGAGGGGGCTGGGATACTGATCCTCAAACTCCCATAGTCATTGATTGAGGGTTGTTCTCACTGGTGTTTCCTGTTACCTGTGCAGAGTGAACTCAGTCTGTCAGAGAAAGTCCTCCAGCAAAAATGCAGGGTGGGGGTCTGGGATTGGGGCCAGAATGCAATAAGGGGGTAAAAACTTGGGGATATGATGGAAAATGGGAGACTCTACCTTTGTACAGTGAGTATTCTGACAAAATGTGAATTATGTGCCCATATCTATGATATGTGCCCTTGTGTGAGGCACATAGCAAAATGAAAATGCAAGGTTCCTTGTTCAAAAAAAGCAAGAACTTCAAGACAGTGATCACAGAAGATTAAATCAATTGCACTGTTGAGCCCTTCTGAGCATGAGTCCCAGGGGCTGCACAGGCTGCTGGTCTGTCAAAACAGTCCTCCCCACCCCTTGCCATGGACTCTGGTCATCCTTGCCTTTGCACAAGCCATTTTATCAACATAGCAAGTTCTTTCTATGGCCAGCACCTTCTTATCCTTTAGATACCAAATGTCACCTCCACAAGCAGTCTATCCCTGATTTTTCCAGTCTTAAAAACCTTACTTTTGTTCTACTCCAGTTTATTTTCTCCCAAGTTCTTATAAGCTAGAAATGCTCCACATTCATGTTCCACATCTGTCTCCCGTGCTACACAGTGAGTTCCAGAAGGGCAGGAGGCAAGTTTAGCACCTAGAACACAAGGCATTCAGAAAACTTTTGTTCAATAAGCAAATGCTCCCATTATGAACCTTCTGAAAATGATATTATCATCTTGTACAAATAAGGAAATCGAGGCTTAAAGAGAGGAAGTGACTTTCCTAAAGTCACATAGCAAGTAAAGAACCAGCTGGCTCTTGAACTCATTTCTGGTCCAGAAACCCGCTGACTCACTTATTTCTCAGAACAGAATTTACTCACCTCTTTTTTCAAATAAACACACTGAATTATAACAGAGACACAGTAAAGTATACCAACATGTACAGTTCGTTGAATTTTCACAACAGAACACACCCTTGTAACCAGCACCCCCTAAAGAAATAGAACGTGTTAAATTTGCATCATGTGGATTTCATCCTGGAGGGGACCTAGGGGGACATCATCAGCTTACAGATGCCTCTCTCAAGCTTTCCCCAACCTACCCTCTCCAAAGGAATCGGTATTCTAATTCATTACATATAATTTTTTTAAAGATTTATTTATTTATGCTTACAGAACTGGGGTACAGGCCAGAGGTGTGGTGGGTGAGAGGATTCACCAGGGACAGAGTGGAGAGCAGAACAGGCAGACTGATGAAGTACACTGCTGAGGGGAGCAGAGGGTGGGTCAGGAGAGGTCTGCCATGCCATGTGGTTCAGCTCCCAGGTTGGGGGGTTTGGGGGGAATCGAACTTGTGCTGCAGTGGCTTCTGAGAGCTTCATGATGCAGTGCTTTAACCAGTTGCACCACTAGGGAGAGCCCCATTACATATAATTTTTAAAGATTTATTTATTTGTGCCTTTAAGAACTGGGGCACAGGCCAGAGGTATAGGGGGTGACAGGATTCGCCAGAGAGAGATTGAGGAGAAGCCCAGGCAGATCAAGTGAAATACACTGCTGAGGGGAGCAGCAGGCGGGTCAGGAGAGGTCTGCCATGCCATGTAGGTCACCTCCCTGGTTGGGGATCGAAATCATAATGCAGTGGCTGTGGATCACTTCATAATGCTGTGCTTGAACCCATTGCGCCACCAGGGAGAGCCCATTATATATAATTTTGCCTGCCTTAGAACATCATGTAAATAGAAGCACACAGTGTTTCTCTTCCTTGTTTTTGTTTTGCTGTTGATCAGCATTGTGATTCATCCAAGTGCACAATCTTTTTTAAAGATTTATTTATTTAAGCATACAGGAACTGGGGGATAGGCCAGAGGTGTGGGGGTTGAGAGATTTCACCAGAGACAGAGTGGGGAGCAGACAGGCAGATTGACCAAAATACACTGCTAAAGGGAGCAACAGGTGGGTCAGGAGAGGTCTGCCATACCATGTGGGTCAACACCCTGACCAGGGATCAACCAAGTCCAATCATTTAGTAGTTTGTTCATTGTCATAGCTACATTATACTCCAGATTGTGAAGAGACTGTTTTATCCATTCCACAGTAGATGGGCACTTGGGATGTTTTCATTGTTTTCAGTGTGACACTCTTAGGATAGTGATGGTGGGCATGTTGATCAGATATGTGCCTTCGACTGGGACTGCTGGGTCAGAGGAGAGGACAGCTGTGTGGTCCATGTTGGTAGATCACACCAGATAGTGTTCCGACTTGGGTGAATTCATCCTCACTTTGACCAGCAAAGAATGAGAGTTGCAGACCTCCATTTTCTTATCTGCTTTGAGTCATCATGTGCTTATCTGGCAGAGAAGACCTCTGAGGCTCAGAGAAGGACTTCTGCTGCTCACAGTGAAGGAGAGATTCTGGGTGTGTCTGTCACCTCTTCTTCTCCTGCATCCTGCCCCCACTGTGCCCTCCCAGACTGGCGGTGGGGAGGGACAGATAGGGTCACGTGGAGTCTGCCTTCAGCAGGAGGAAGCAAGCAGAGTGCAGACGGCGCAACTAATTCTGGGGCTAGTCAGGAACTCAAGGTAAGAAGGGAGTGCCTGTGGACCCCCAAGAAGGTCCTCTTGGGGCATTGCTGAGAGGGGGGGGGCAGATAAGGCCAGCATATGGACAGATACCAGACAGAACTATCACCTTCTTGCCTCCCCCAGGAAGACTCCACCATGGACCTCAGGTTGGAGAGCCAGGCCTCCCAAGATGCCCAACCTGCAGCCCCTTCTCCACTGACCTCCTACCGCTGGCTCACAGGGTCTGGCAGGGAGAAGGGGGTCAGGGGATTCCACTGGAGGCGCTTTTCAGACTGGGGGAGGGCTCTGAGCCACCAGGAGCCCATAATCAGCAGCCAGCAGGCCCCTCGCTCACTGTTCCGCCGTGTCCTCTCTGAGCCCCACAAGGAGAGCCGAACAAGCCGCCTCCGACTCTCCAAATCCCTCTGGGGAAGGCACAAGAGCCCACCGCTGGAGACACAGCCAGCGCCAGAGGCTTCAGGTACGGTACATGGCTCCCCCACCCAGAGATCAAGTCAGGCTGGGAAACCGGATGCTTGGTTTTGTCTGCCTCCAAAGCATCAGCCTCACAGACACAGGAAGTTGTGGGGAGTGAGAAAGCCTGGCAGGAAGTGGCAGGGGCCCAGCTGCCTTCTTCCCTCTTTCTACCTTACCTAGGGCAGGGGTGGAGGGGTAACCAGGGTCCCCAGTGGGTCCTGCCTAGGGAAGGAAAAGGGAATAGACTGACGTGGTACTGGTCAGATGTGAAGTGGACCCATTGGTGGCCCTCCTCACGTTCAATAACCGAGGCTCATCCTCTTCTGCCCTGTGTCTGTCTCAGCCACCTCCTGCTCTCCTGCCTTTCAGCCTCCATGTCTTAGTTTCTTCATCTTCTTTTGCCTCTGCCTCCTTATCAGTTAAAGGGAACCCTATCCCTAGATTGAAAGGTGCACTATTTCATATACTCACATCCATTCATTATTTTAAGCCGTGGTCTGTTGAGCATTTCCTGTGATCCAGGTACTGATGTAGGCCCTGAAGACATCACAGTGAACAAAACAGGGAACAGTGCCTGCCATAATACAGTGAGCATAACAGATAGCAAATAGGCAAACAGGAAATGACAGACAGGGCTTAGTGTCACAAAGAGGGATCTAGAAGGGTGAGGAACTGCATGAGAATTAGAGCTATAATGTAGCACTAACCCAGGGCCCAGTATATCTCAACTGATCTGTTAACAAATAGAAATTGTTTATTCCTCTAGCAGTACAACAGCAAGATAGACAAGTTATCTGAGAGGGTTGATTGAGCATTCCTATTCCTGAAAACTCTTTTAATTCTATTCTTCATATTCCAGGGTATCAGGTATTGCCTCCTCCAACGTGTTCCCTGCTTCTCTCCTGTTCAAATACTTCCTATGCCCCCCCCCCACTATCCTGCTATCCTCGGGACAAACTCTCAGCTCTTCTAACACTCATGGCCCTATACCAATCTCTTCCTGGACCTTTCCCTCTAGCCTCTGAACCCTCCAAATCTTTCTTGCTCTCCCTTTACTGCCCTGAGCCTTTCATCTTTCAGACCTTGCTTAAGCTATACCTATCACCTTCCCTTCCATCTCTGTTTGTCAAAACTCAACCTGCTATTCAACATCCACTGCGCAATTATCTTTGTGAGGTCTCCCCTGATCTACTGCACTGCCTCCCCTTACCCTGACTTTTTTCTGTTTCTTTCTCAAACTTTGAACACCTTCCACCTTAGACTAGCTATTTATGTAAGGAACTAAGGCTATGGTCTTGTTATTTAGCCTCTTGGATCTAATCACTGTCTTGGTTAAGAATTCTGGTGTCTGAAACCGAGCCACAGAATGGACAACCTTGGGAAAGTCACTCAATTTTTCCTTGATAAAATGGGGGTTGTAATTCCTTTCAATGGTTTCTGGAGAATTAACTGAGGAAAGTTATATGATGCAATAAACCCAGTTTGGGCCACACAGTAGGTGGGTTGAGTTGACTTTCCAAGGCTGCTGGGAACAAGGCCCAGAGAGGAGTAGAGATTTACCCACTGAAGCCTCACTGGGTGAGGCTGCTGGGTGGAAAG